CCCAATGCGAATGGCTGGTTTTATGTTCGTAATTATTATTGATCAGTACAGAGTAGATAGAGAAAAAGCTACAATTCCTATTGTTGTGTTTGGAATGTTGAGATCTTTAACTGGTACGTAAACTTTTATTTTTAATTAATTATTCTATGCATTTGTTTGACGATGTTATTGATAGTTGCCAACTCTATAGTTTGAAATCCCCCCCCCCTAAAAATTTGAAGATTAGCAAAATTAAATGCATTTTGCTAGCATTTAAAAATTTTTATACCATTATTAGCGTGTACTTTTCATAAAAAAAAATTTTTTTTAAATGAGTTATTCCCTTTGGGACTGAGAGTGAGGGGAGAGCGGGCATGATGATCAATTTCGAGACCAACGGATGGAGGGAATGGGATCAACTTTGCGCACCAACCGCCTTTACTTCCCATTACAGTTGGTACCCATCGATTTGATCTTGTGGAAGCTTACACGGAGAAAAAAATTCCAGTGAAATTACCGACCATACTGTATGGTGGTAACATTTCTGGTAAACAAAATAAAAAAAATAAACAAAATAAAAAACGTAATTTTGGTTTTAAACATTAAAATATGCGATATTTAAGCCATTAATTTGGCAATTTTTCCATTCATATGGTTACGATTTACCGGAAAATTTGGTTTTCATAATTACAGTTCTTATTACCACACAAAAAAATACAAAACTTAAAATTAAATTTATCCTAATAAAATGTTTCTATGCCATGCTCTAAGGTATCATGGTAAAATTAACAACTTTCGCCATATTTACCAAAGTTTGACACATATTATAAAACCATATTTTATTATTAAATTTACTAAAATCATTATTAAAGCGCTTCGGTAAAAATTATCGAGCTCTTTGGTTTCTCCTTAGAGCCAGAAACATATGCTAATAGTTTTGAAGCATATGCTAATAGTTTTGAACATACTTTTTTTCTCAGGCTAGAACCACCACCAGGGATCGAACCCCAATTTTTCACAATGATTGCTAAGTGTTTTCAACACTGAGGCCCATATATATATTTATATACATGTTAGAATTTTGTTATTTGACATTATGTTCAAAATAATAGTAAATCGACTTAATTAAACCAATACTCAAATAGTACTGTTAAAATTTTTGAGAAAATTATTCTGCTTTTAAAAGCGTGGTATGTATGTATGCACTGATAAAATTAATGAAATAAATAACGTTTAAAAAAGGCCTGACACAGCCGACAAGTGCTCAATCATGTCATACTATGCCTCTGCCGAGTTATTTCATATTCTATAGAAATGTTCGTTTTTCATAGCATGTGTTCAAAAGAAATGTTAAATAAATTAAAATTCGCAAATTTCATTCTCCTTTGAGTGCCAATTTACAAACAATAAACCTCTGCATTTTTCACTAAAATAGCAAGTCTAAGCATATTTACAAATTTGTAAATGATATTAAAAAAATTTATAATAGCATTTGATAATCATTTTCAGAATTAGCAAAATATGATAAAATGTTCAAAATTTTCATCCCCATTTCATATTGACGTGTTTCTCAAAAGGAATATTAAACAATACTGAAATTTTTAAAAAATTTTGTTCGTTTTTTGACGATGAAATTTATTAAGGATTTATCACGTGCATAATTACCTGATGCCATTTTGGAAAACCAGATAAAATGTACAACATCGAATCTAAAAATATATATGTAATATAACTTAAATAGAAGAAATGATTAACAAATATCTCATTAATTAAGACTCAAAAGTCTATTACATTTGAATTATTGTATAATAATGGAACTTTTATTCACTTTGTATTTGAATTACAACTTTAGAAGCATGTGTTCCTTAATTAAGACTGCTTTATCGTTCTTTGACCCACGAAACTATTTAGTTTGACCAGGTCTGGTTTAAATCAGTCTAGGAATTAAATGTGGCCTAAGTACTTTCACACAAAATAAAATATTATGTTTCCACTCGTAAAAAATTGAAATTGAAAATTTTCTTCGAAATAATACAATATCAAGTTCAATTTTTTCCTTTTCTTTTACTTGAGTATTTTTATATACACATATTACATAACTCCTGCCCACTAGTTTTCAAAAACAAACTTAAAAACCCACAAGTTGCTTGCATATTATTTAAACAGCAGTGGAGAAAACTGATTTACAGACTGTGTAAAAATAAGTACTGAATTTTTGTTCCTTCGGTTTGCAAAAAAATATAGAGAACATTAATATCTAAACTGATTTAACTAATATCTTGCTGTAAAAATAGAATAAATTAATAAAAAAGAAATAGATTTTTTTTGTAAATCAAATAGTTTCAGAATTCTTTCTTATCATGCATAGTATTAAGTGCGTTCTGAAACCAGCTCTCATTTTTTCCAAACAAGCCTAAAACCCACTTTTTGCTAATTATATTTGATAAAGTGCATGCTGAATGCTATGTTTTACGTTTATTTTGGCAAAGTTCGTCTAGCACTTTCAGTTTCATTGATTAACTCTCATTGTTATGCAGGTCCATTTATTGGATATTTAGGACAAGTTATTGGACTACGTGCAACCACAACTCTGGGCTGTGCTTTATCGTCTTTCGGAATTGGAATGTGTTTCTTCGCTGATGATATCACAACAGTCATTATAAGCCTGGGATTTATTTACGGTAACAAGTATTTCAATACAAGTAGTGAATAAACTTGAACTGCGTAAATTAAGCACAAATAACGGAACAAAAATAGATATACTTTTGCGCCATTATTTGTGCTATAATATAGCTTTGGTTCCATAAACAATAGTTTCGATTCTACAAACAATAGCCTCATTCAATACCGAAACACAGAAATCTGTCGAACATTTTTAAGTTTCGATAATATTTCTCACTGTTGAACATTTCAGCGTTCCGACTATACTTCTCGGTTTCGCGTTTTGACTCTGGAAAAGTTTACGCTGTAGCACAGGGTAGTTATAAAATAAATTAGCCGATATATGAACCTCTGAAGAGCACACCGTTTGAGCAAACAGAATTAGAGGGATCTATACGCTCAAGAATCAAGTTAAAAACGATTGTGTTTCTCTCAAGGTTACAGTTACAGTGATAAAATTTCGAACTTTTGAAATGGCATTACTCTTTTTGTTTTAATTATAGGCATGTCAGACATGAAAGAACGGGCATGACAAAAAATTTTAAAACATAAATTCTTTCTCTGCAATTTTTCCTTGAGATTTGAGTCAATGGGTCTCATCCGCGACACGAAGCTTATTCAGTCCACTCCAAAATTCTTCATCCCGTAATGGACTGAACGTGAAGACACGGTTCCCAGTAGATTACTGAAGTAAAGCATCACTGGTTGGGATCAGTGTGTGGGTGGGTGATCAGTTTGATCCGCCTGCATAGAGACCTTCCAGCACACTCGGAGGTGCCATCCCCTCTATAGAGGATCAAAATTTTGACGGCAGGTCTTCGGATCTTCCTCAGGGATGCTTCCCAGACCGTTGCCAATAGCCCATTTTGTAGCTTTATTGCGACGCAAATAAAATACCTACCTACCCGAAATTCTTCAACTTTTGAGATGTTTATCGTTTAACTGTGGTTAATAGTTTAATAGTTAACTGTGTTAGATAGTTAATAGGTTAATAGTTAACTGTGGTTAATAGTCATTATTTTTAATGTAATAATAATTCTTCACTAAATCTTTAAAGTTTTTCTTTTTTTTGGAATATTAGACAACAATAAAAATGTTAAAATCTTAAAGAACGATAAAATACAATTCACGATTTGTTCCGAATGTGGTTTGCTCGTTCGACTTTAAATGCGCCAATCAAATTCTTAATTTCTGCATGTATTATATTTTATATACATTTTAATTTTCACGAAAAAGTGAGAAAAAATATTTTTGATGCAACATTGGAAAATATTTTGTAAAAAGAAAATTTTGCTTTTAAAACATTTGAATTCAACACACATTTCTTTATTTATAACAAAACCAGGAGAATAAACTCTCTTCTCTTAAAAAGAAAACCGGTTAAACTTTTCAGTTTGTTTTCGAACGGCAACGTCAGAACAGTTTGGACGTATAAGCTCTGAATGGATGAGGGTTCTCCGGATGAAGGCTCTAAAAGCTCTTCATCCGGAAACTGTCCCGATATATTGTTCAAGATATTTTATCGAATTAGCTCTTTTTATTGAGTTCGCAAACGCATGCTAAATTTAACTTACAAGTAGTCTCGTGCTATATCAATTTCGAATTCTTAATAAGACTTCCCTTTGCTTCAGATTTTATTATCAAATATTCAGTGAAATCCTAGAGTAGCCCATCCCTTTGGCGATTTTTTAAAATCTCGCCAAGTTGGCTCTTATTACTTAAATTACTCATTTTTTTATTTTTAAGAAAGCATTTTAAATCATTAAAATTTATTAAAATATTTTTAATGAAATAAAATAAAAAATAACACACCTTTACTCTGGCGCACCAAATCTATTAGAAACCTAGTTTGGCAAAACCTCAAAAAGTCGCTTGGCGAGATTTCAGAAAATCGTCGCGGGATTCTAGGATCCACCCCAATTTTTTAATAAGATTTTGAAGTGGCTATTTGATAAAGAACATCTGATTTCCTTTACGAATTCGGTGCTATACTTATCATGAGTTATGTTACTATACATTTCTGCTACTTTTTATTTATATTTCGATTTTTTTTTTTTTAAATAGGAAAAATCTGCTGTTAAACTATTCTCCAGTCTCCGGCTAGAAACCTCAGACAAATTAAAATTTTTATTAAATAACTCCTTTCAAACATTGAAGCTTTATAATAAATGCTAAATCTAACCAAACAGAAAATTTCGTTTGATGAGTAGGGGAGAGTGGGGTCAATTGTAACAGGGTACGATTGTAACAGAGCAAAAATTTCGAGTGTCGGGTTCTAGATTTGTTTCCTAGGTGGTGCACAAGGTGTATTTAATAAATCTACATGTACACCCCTGCTGGCAACCATTTTTATGTANGAGGTTGTTTGGGCGGAATTGTGATGCCTAAAGTTTTGCAATTACTAAGTGAAGAATATGGTAATTCAGGGATGCTCTTGATTTTGTCTGCAATAGTTTTAAATAGCGTTCCTGCGGCTATTATCTTGAAAAATCCAAAAAACAATTTAAAAAACCTAGAACTCAAAACAATATTAAGCAATACTGATGTTAAAAATGCACAAAAAACTATATTTTCTGCAACTGAGAGTAAATCAGAAAAACAAAATAAGGAAAATAACAGATTTGATATCGGAAGAAGTGCAAGTTTGTCAACCGTTTTTCCTCATACCATATTAAATATTTCCGATAATTGTAAAAGATCCTATGATAATGCATGTTTAGATTTGAAAGATGAACCACCTGATATTAAAGACGATTCTTTATTTCAAGTGAACAAAATAATTGAAAAAGATGATATACATGAATGTAAATCAAAGGAAGCTATGAATCTCAATGAAAATGGGAAGCAAAAAGCAGGAATCGAAATGAATTATGTCGATTCAAAAGTGGCTAATCGTACCAAACCTAAAAAAATGAAATCCTTGCAACTGTTCGTAAATCCCACTTTTTACTTGACGATGTTTGTTCAAAGCTGTCACGGTTTTGTGACAACGTTGACTTGGACTATAATCGTTGATCTAGGTCGAGATCGTGGACTTTCTACTGAACTATCTTTGTACTTTCTAATGCTCTTTCCAGTAGCTGAAATGATTGGGAGTTTGGGCTTAAACTGGATTACTGGTCGCAATTTCATGACGCAAACGATGTATTGTATGACTTGTTATTTGATTTTAGGCTTAGTTGAAGTATGCTTGGTTTTTGCTCACAGTTTCACTTTAATGATGATTTTCATTTTGATATTTGGTGTTTTTTCTGGATCACTTGCAACAACTTTTCCTGGAATGGTTTATGAATTCTTTGATGAAGAGGAACACAGCATGGCATTAACCTCTCGCTTTGTTTTATATTCCGCACTGTATCTAACCAAGTCTCCAATTATAGGTAAGAACAGTCGTAACCATATTTTTTTTCTATTTCTTTCCTTTATTTTTAATTTCCTACAGATTTCAATAATTTAGGATCGTGTTGAACCTTAATATCGTTCAAATTTGCTAAAAGTTTTCGTAAAAATTTACTTTAAGATGTCTCTTGGCGAAAATTGGCAATTTTTTTAAGCTATTTTCGTTCCCATGTTATTGCCCTATAAATAAAGTAACAAAACATAATTTAAAAACAAAAAAAAAGTATAATCCTAATCAAATGCATTTTATATCAAAATAAAAACAAGTAAATAGAGTAAAAATGGGAATGAATGTTATCTAATATGCGGGGAGGGATTAAATATCGACTAACCTCATTTAAAAGTTCTTATGCGAGTTGGTATAATTGAAACTACATCGCTCATACTGGCGTCCAAATCGAAGAGTACTTCCAAATATAGTATAACCGCAATCTTTATTTGGGTCATTCTCACAAAAACAGTCATTTTCATGTCCCCAGTATATTTTATGTTTGTTTTACAACTTACGAAAAAAAATTTTCAGGGAAAGTGTCCTTCAGAATGCAAGCTAACAAAAGAATAAAAATAAAATTATCAATTTTTATTTTTTATTAATTTTAGGTAATAAAAATATACCAATATGTCATTCCCTCACTTGTCCCCACTGCTGATTTAAAAGAAGAAGAAAATTGTGTCTGAAATACAAATTTTTTTTTTACAAATTCGCGTTTTTTATTTCAGAATACTGAAATATGGAATTCAGAAAATCAATTTTAAATTTAATTTCTGATAAAAATATTAACACAGCACTATTTTAAACTTTGTCCCCAGTGTTTCGCGTCATTCCCTCACAACAATGTTCTTA